ATGTCTGAAATAAAAGGTCGAACATCATCGCATTCGCTTGCTTCCTCTTCACGTAGATAATGTTTTACAGCAAATGCAAATCCTATAAGAAGTCTTACAGCGCTTTTCTTTTCTATTTCTATTTTTTCCTCTTCTTTTTTTGTCATGAGTTCTTCTAGTTCTTTTTTTTTTTTCTCCAGTTCGATTTTTTTATTAACTATTTCTTCATCCTCAGTTTGCATTTTATCCTTTTCTTTTTTTAAATCATCATCTTTCATTTTATCCTTTTCTTTTTTTAATTCATCAGCTTCATATTTTTTTAATTCTTCATATTTTCTTTTTAATTCATAATCATCTTTTATAAATTTCCTTTTATTATTTTTTTCTTCTTCTTCCAATTCTTCTTTTGATTTCTTTCTTTTGACACCTACCCAAATGTATCGTGTTAAATTTCGAATCGCAATCACCATTGATGACCATGCTCTGCGACCTTCCCAATATCTATAGATTAAAAAAAGAGAAAATGCTTCACGTGAAAAGTTACATAAGGAAGAGTTTTTTTTATCAATTATTTATTACCTATCATAAGCAGTATTTGTTCTATAAGTAAGTAAAAGACCCACAACGAAACCAAGCACGGGAATGAATGTTTGTGGAATCCCAGGCTTAATATTTGTTTTGAAATATATAGCTGTTATAGCGGCCGCGAAAGCGGTAACAAATAAGGTTTGCAGTAAGACATTTGGAACAACAGAACCCTTTAATCTAAATAAGTATGGTAGGCTATCTTCATTGGAAGTATCCACCTGTTGACATCTTGCTTTTACTTTATGATGATTATGATGTTTATGGGTCATGATGTTATTTTAAGCTTATAAGAAAATTTAATGAAATAAACGTAAAAAAAAATGAAAATTTTAGAATTTTTATGGACAGAAAGTATTTTATTAGTAATATATATTTGTCCTTCGTTTCATAAGCGCCTGATTGAATATTTGTATACCATAATTGAATATAGTTTGTCAAATGTTTATATCGATATATGCGCGTAATTATGTATTTAGATCTAGTGTGAAACAAGCTAATACCTTTTTTAATATCGAGAACGCCGTTTATAATTTATTTTTATGTAACTTATATTTACTGGATATTAAACTGTTTACTAGTTCTGGTAGCTTGCTTCTAAACTGGCCTAATAATTAATCTCTAACTGGAATTTCATTATATTGTTATCTATTACGTAAAATATTGGAAAGAATGGGATCGGAAGGTCGAATCCGATTAAGAGCCGTTATGGAAGCTTCTAATGCAAGAAGCTTCTAATGCAAGAAGCTTCTATTGTAATGCATATCGATGCAAGTATATTGAAAACTGACATCCGTGCTACTTGAGAATCTTGAGCTTTGTTTTAAAAATTCAATTCAGGGTTATTAATAATTTATCGTAATTTTAATGGCCTTTTTTTGAAGCATTTTTAATCAAGCGTAATTTTTGATACGTATTATATCGAAATGTGTAATACATACGTACGACTAATTTTAATTTAACAGCTAAGGTTAGTACGATAATAACATAATCCTAATCATCCACACTTTAAATTTATTTCGTACAGGGCTCAGCTTTGAAAAATTGATCAGAGAACAGGAACATGACACTCTTATTATCGCCACATATACCGCTTTAAACTAGCATATACGTAAATGTTTACAAAACGGCTGTGTTGTATAACTATTACATGATTGGATAATAGTATAAATTAATAACTGATAAATTAATTAATATATATGTAAATATTTCAACAATTGCTGATCATTATTTCCTTTTTTATTTGGTCATATAAATAGATTTACTAAAATTTATCGTTATTTCTGTATTTATCTATCCTAATTAAGTTTCTTCTGTTGATCTGGATAATCAAACCTCTAACGCTAACCCCAAATCAATTTTAAATTCGCTATTTTTAACGTTATATTAATAAAAAAACGGAAAGAAGCTTGTATAAATCATTGAAAACGAGCAAAAAAATTCTTTTATAAAACAGAACAATGTATATATTATATTCAGAATAAAATACACAACCTAACATCTACTAACATCTATGATCAATAACTCAGATACGCTCTAAGAGCCCAGCAAATTCAAGTATTATACCCGGCCTTTCAAGTTTATATTTGTATAAAACATTTAATTTGAGACTCATTAAAACCTTTTAAACTTCTTAAATTGTTAACGCATTAATTTGTTAAATCTTTTCTTATACGTATATAATAACATACTAAGAGGAGATTTACTGCAAAGAGAGTTAAATTAAATTAAACCACGTTCATTTAAGTACAATCTAACCTTTAGCAAAAACGTTCACGGCCACCTTGCTTTAATGCCAAGTATACTGTATATTGTATATCTGATGTTAAAGCTATGAAACGTTACATTCTCAAAAAGGATAGTTAACCATATAAATTAGTTACCCGGGCAATTGATTTACACCAGCCAATCAGACGAATTCCTTTCTATGAAATTATTGCACCGAAAGATGAACATTAACCTTTTGAAGAAATATCATAGAGTAAACAGATGTAATTAAGGGTTAAAGTCGTTAACCGCTAGTGATTGGACCCGCAACTACCCCAGTAGCACCGACAGATAAAGAATCATAACCTAACCCTAATAATTTTGTTTTGATCTGTCGGTAAATCGGTCCCACAGTAATTGCCAGCCGACTTTGAGCGAGATTTATAAAAAATTGGCATTTTTAACCGGTATTCGTCCAATAAATAAAGCCATAGAAAAATAAATTTTTTGTAAAATTTTCTATGACTTTATTTATTGGACGAATGCCGGTTAAAATGCCAATTTTTTATAAATCTTGCTCAAAGTCGGCTGACAATTACTGCGGGGCCGATTAACCGCGGGTGAACGGGCGACCCGGGTGGAAGTGGGTGGGTCAATCCGTGGGTTATCCACGAGTCATCACGAGTAGAGTTGCTGGTGAAACTAATTCATTTCACCAGAAAACTGGTGCACCTTTGAAGATTAGTTTCATATATAACTAGTTTTACCATCGGTGCACCAGTTTCACCAGCTTCACCTGGTGCACCATTGAAGATTAGTTTCACCTGCAACTCTAATCACGAGTAGGATTCCGCATGGGCCGGGCTGGGCCGGATATTTTGATATCCAGATCCAGCCCATTAAAAAAATGTACCAAGTATTTATATCCAAATACATCCCATAAAATGGATAAATCCAAGCCGGCCCATAACCACATAGTACAATCCAAGCTCGGCCCATAGATCCAAGTTAATTTTTATAAAAAAAATTTTGCAACCAAAATTAGTATTACTGGTAATTATAATTGCATATACAGTAGTCTAAAATCTATTTTAATATAATAAAGTTACATGCTACCTATAATGTTTAGACAACCAATTTCTTTGACAACTAAGTTCTTTGACAACCAATTTTTTTTAACATATAATGCTTCAACATATCTGACTATTGTCAATAATTCTACCAGCTAAACTAAAAATTTGCTCTTTTGGCGTACTTGTTACTGGGTAGCTAAAAAATCCCTAGCCGTTTGGAAATTGACAATAATTTGATTTCCACCAAAAAAGTATGTAACTAATATAAATACATTGGTTCAAGTATATTGAAATAAAAGTAAGATGTGTGTATTTGTATATATAGAATTAATTTCATATGATTAATATGTATAGTTGTAGAATAATTTGTAAAATAATATATCTTCACATTTTTTAAATAGAGAAAATTTAAATAATAAACTAACCTTATTAATACTAACGGGTCTATTTGATTACATTTTAATATTTCGCTACTTTAAGTGAAATTCTTTAATTATTAATGCCCATATTGTTATATAGAGTTGTAGTTATCATAATAAAAAGACATGAGATTTTACAATATAAAAAATGTTTTTTTTAAAAAAAAATTAAAAGCAATAATATTTATTATATCTTTGTTAACAAGAACTTAACTTTTTTCAAGCATAATTAATGATGCGAGATTATCAAAAATCTAAAAAGAAAATTCGAAATAGTTTGAACGCCTTTTTTGTTCACAATTTTGACATAGTTAAATATGATATATATGGATTGTCCATAGGTTTTTGGATATGGATTCGGATATATCCAATTTTATATGGATCTGGATCTTTAAGACCGGTTCCAACAAAAAATCCATATTAATATCCAAGCTGGGCTGATTCATGAACAATCCATGGATAGTCCATCCCATGCGGAACCCTAATCACGAGTTAATCTATAGTAAGTATCTGATCCGGCCAAAAGTAAATGTTATTACAGCTATTATCGTAAATCCGAGAAAATTAGCGAAATGATTCTTTAGTTGATTCGGCTGTTATTAATTTCGGTACGATCGATATATAAGATATGTTGTACGCCGAATGAGCAATATAATTTTATGTTAATTATAGCTGGAAATTGTGACTAGAATATATGCATAAATAGCTTTGAAATGTATTGAGAATTCAACGGCTTTAATTTTAAATTGAATATGCGCTAAATGGATTCAGTATTAACTTTGTTAGTTCGAAATTCTTCGACAATTTGAGTGAAGTTAAGATTTCGTTTCAATTTAAGCGTATTTAGAATCAACTTGATTCTAGATCTAGCAAGATTCCATTATTATTTTAAGGTCGACACGTTCAGAATGCTTGGCTCAACACCTTTGGTGTGCTTAGAAATTTATGAAAAGACTGTTCTTCTCAACTAAGAGATCTTGACAAGAAACGGCTCCGGATGTTAACCGGGTCACTCGGCGGGTGGACCCACCCGGGTGGCATTTTTTTTAGACGAGTCCAATCACTATTAACCGCATAGAATTTACCTCATAGCTTAGGTTAATCGTTAGCCCAAAAATTTTAAAGCCAATTAGATTGGACGGCTAGACACGATTAAACTATTATACAGTATAATTGTTAATTAATAAAAGAATTTTTTAAGATAATTGTTACCACTGCCCAGCAGGGATGGTAAATGACCTCAAATGACCCCAATTTTATTATTAATTTAGTCCGAAATGACCTGGGTCATTTGAAAAAAAGGCAAATGACCATCCCTGCTGCCCAGCCTAGCCTCTGGATTCTTAATATTATGTATAAATGTCAATATATAGAGCTCATATAATTTTTTTGATTTTACTTTAATCTTTCTAACACCCATTCCACCACATTTATTTTTTGACACTTTTATAAGTTTCGGGAAAATGAAAGTAGTGTCTATGAAATAAAAGTGTTAAAGAAATTTTTATTTATTTTATTTTATTTGGATCTTTGCTAACAAAACCACCCTTCAAGATTTCCGATCGGGCTGACTTAAGCCAGAGTACCGGCACTTATTTATATATAAATTATCTTTATCGAAAAAGGCCGATCGGACTTTCAATATATTGTGTACAGTTAAGCGTCTATGAAAAATTTATTAATGATAAACTTTTCATAGACGGCTAACTGTACACAAAATATATTAAAAGTCCGATCGGCCTTTTT